AAAAGACAGGGAGTTAAAAAAGAAGTGGACCATCCCACATCAAGATAGCATTTCACCTTTTACGTTATATTAAAGGGAAAGAAAGTATTTGTAGTAGATCGGGGGCAGAAATATAAAAATGAGATAATTCCTTTATATAAATAATAAATCTATTCATGTTAGTAAGGCTTTGATCTGGGACTACCCAGACCTTTCATGGGTGTGCATTGAAAGCCAAAATTGTGTAGAATAGCAGTAAGTAATCAATGATAATATATGTGGCGCTTATTTAGTCATAAGCATTGAGTATTTCTTCTTCAGTCACCTTTCTCACTCACTATGTGTTAATAGACCTCTCTGCATTAAATCATACCTGTTATTAATCTCTGGCTCTCTTCTACAGCATGTGTTTTATCCTGTCTTCTTTCTCTCTCCCCAACCAGTCGTGGCAGAAGGCTGCCCCTCCCCGAGTTTGATTCTGGAGGAGGTTTCTTCCTGTTGAAAGGGAGTTTTTCCTTCCAACAGCAGTGTCCTGGCAGTGATTATATATGTATTTATTATTGGTGTTATTTAGTTTGTATTAAGCTATTCTATCTAAAATACTATGATAAAATTAAATATATCATAATTATGCATGATAAACTTCATTTCCTGAGTTATGGCCAAAAACAAGTTCAGTGAGGTCACCTTCCCCTTTGGACTTTTATCCACCCAATTTTATTCTGTTTGTCTCTTGACTAAATTTACTGAAATATGTTCTCAAAGATGTGAACCTAAAACTAAATGTGTCCAGGAAGTTGCCAATATTATAAGGCTGTAACCTGAAACCTGAAGCTGGTGAGGTCATATCACATATATATATGTATTCACTCAGTCAGACCTCACAAACACTAATGTACGAGCTAGGATTAGTGTTTTAATCAAATATAAGCAGATGTCTCTATCATTTTAACATTGTTTTTCCTTTTAACAAGATGTCCACTGAAGCTTATCTTACCGACCACTTCAAGAGTCACTGACCTTCACAGAGAATCTGTGATAAAAATAACTAATGAGTGCTACTGTGTAAGGTTTATTCTTTTAAGCATATCTGCAAGTGAGCACATATACACATCGTCTATTTATGCAGCGTGTGACAAGTTGGTGAAATGACTCATTCTTTCTATTCTTTCCCTCCTGTCTCCCACTGAGGGATGAGTCAGAATACAGGAGAAATCTGGGTGAATAATAAACCATCTTGCTCCCCCAAACATGAAATAAGGTTAGTACTCTTTTCTACATGTACTTCTGGTAATAAAGCCACACTAAGATAATGTAATAACTTTTTGTCTCAGAATCTTATTAAGTGACAAAAACTTTCATTTAGCACAAACACACTGAGAAAAATATCAGTGCCAAGCTAGTATTTTTATAGTTGTATTAGAAATGATAAAGCCAAATCACACACCATCCACATTTAAACATACAGATACATACTGGCACACAAACAGACAACTTTTCCCTAGAGTGGGAGAGATCCATCTAGCTTAACACACCTCCTACTCATCTATCCAAATACCTGGTGCCATGACAACCCACTGGCAATTCCTAAAGCAATGAGATTATGGCTAAAAGTGTCACACACCACTTAGTTTCTCTGCATATCAAATGTCATTAAAAGCACAAATCATGTGAAGGTTAGGATCATGAGATTAATTCTGTCAACACCCTAATACTTCTAAGTGTCATATAAATCTTAACTTAATTTATGAGCATCAATAAGATTATCCATGTCTACAAAGCTGACTTTACAGAAGCATTAATGTCTCCTGATAGCAATGTTAGATGACTTTTAGATGGTTCATTAGAGCGCTTCAAAATCGGAGTCTACGTGTAACTTCTTGTAACAAATTGCCTTACACAAAAAGTAAGGCAATTTGTTTTTGGTCATTTATTTCTTTTGTTTATTTTTTGCCAATATGAATTGTTACAACAAAGTAATAATTACCCAAACACCGATTTCAATATTTCAATATGGCTCAGATGCTGACTCAGCTATATGAGGTATGGGTGACAATGAATTAATCTACATGGCAAATCTATTCAATGTAATTCCATTTAGGCTACGTCCACACCTACACGGGTATTTTTGAAAACGGAGATTTTCCGTTTTTGTTATTTTTTTAAATTCCGTCCACATGTGAATGCAAAAACGAAGGAAAACGTTGCTAGGAACATGCCAAAGCAACAGGTGGCGATATATTCCTAACCGTGTAGAAATGTTGGCCAATCAGAACTCTAGAAGCCTGGGTGGGAAAGAGTAAACAAAGATGGCGCATAGACGCAGAGCTGAGTCCTATGTATGGAGGGACAGAAACTGTGTTGTATATGGAGAGCATGAATGGCATGGGAGGAGCTGAAGAATGTCACATTAGCTATGTCCTTTATACTCGCTATGTCAGTGACAGAAAGAACAGTAAAAACTCTCACACTGAGCTGAAATAAAACAAGTTAAAAACACACACAAAAATTGGTGAATTAAACAAATTGCAAAAAATTGCTTAACTTTACAAAAAAAATCATATGTTTTATCTAAAAAAAAAGTTAAGAAAGTAATGTTTGTCTATTGTTGTCTTAAAGATGAAGACATTTTATTATTTTATGTGTATAAGTTATTGCCATGCTAACATTGCCATTAGCTCAAAGCACTACCACTAGCACAGCTATATACTCAATCCCGTTGCTTAACTAAAGTGCAATAAAAATCACTGTTTTTAAAAAATCTGAATCTTACTTCAAAATAATGAGTAAAACAAGATTAAAAACACTCCTGTTAAGTTGAATAATGAAAACTGGACCCTGGTCACTTAATTGAACAATCTGACTAAAAAATGGCCATAAAAAGTTCTTCTGGAATGGCAAACTGATATTTAACAGCTGCCTCTAATTGGCTCGGAATGGCCCAGTCAGTTTTCATACCCAACAGTGAAAGGTATATTGTATGCAGTAAAATTAATAGCCAGAGAACTAGACATACACTAAACACATTTTCTTTGCTAGGAGGACTTCGATAAAGTTCCTCGTTTTTCTTTTCTTTTTGTTTCATTTCATTTATTTATAGTATTATTCACATTAGTATATGCATAGCCAGAGCTGACAGGTGTGGAGGGGTAGGAGAAAAGTGAGAGAGAGTGAGTTGCAATTCTGCGCAAATTTGGATTTGGTTCTTCCTTCATAGACTAGAACAAAACACTACAAAGCTCTCCAAATGCATGCCCTTGTGCAGACAAAAGCTTCAGTCTGCACAAGGGCACCAAGCTCGGTGGCCTACTCTCCCCTTCACTTCTTGTTGTCTTCACTGAGCCAGTAGCAGTAGCAATCCAAGAAAATAAAGATATTAAAAACATATTAATAAAGTGGAACCCCGACTTACGAATACCCCATTTAACGAAAAATTCAAGTTACGAAGGCACTTAACGGCAAAATGCCCGCGTAACGAAATCCGCTGGCTCTGATTGGCTGAGCCCAGAATGCCTACAATGCCCACAATGCTTTCCGAATCATGTGACAACCCCCTTGGCTTTCGTATTTGCGCTTCGCTGTTCCACTTGAACGACGTATTGTTGTTGCAGTTAGCAATTAGCCTATAGCCTATAGCCTATCGTTCACTCAAAAGGCGCAATGGGTGCTTTGACTTACAAAAATTTTCGACTTACGAAAGACCCTCAGGAATGAATTAATTTCTTAAGTCGAAGTTCCACTGTACTTTAGGATAAGCCTTTTACTGATGATGTATTACTTTTACTTGGCAATTCACAAACCTCTCTTCTGAAGACTGTCACATTAACAGATGAATTGTCAGATCTATGTAGTAACTAATGCCATAATGCAAATGTCTAACCCTATTTTAACCCTATGCTGCAACCTTCTTTTTTAAAAAAAATATTTGACTGACATTTGCCCTATATTGAATAGAGACAATAGAGATGGACAAGAAAGCAGGACTCAAACCCCTGCTGCTTTCTGGCAGCCATGTCATCGCCTGCTCACACGCTGAGCTAAGCTGCAACACAACTCCACCTCCTGAGAAATGTAGCTACATGTCAGGTCAACACATACCACAACAACTTGAGTGACGGGAAGATGTAGGGATAAAAGGAGTTTCTGGTTATGTCAATTAGGACATAGATTTCCCACAAAAGTCTATGTCAAGTTTTATAGATAAGGTCACATCTATATCAGACTACTCCATGGAATGGTGTTTGTTTCTTAATTGTTATTTTCAAAACACCTCCACCAGCCCACAGTCAGGTAACATTAGATATTTAGGTATACATCTCTGATTTCAGGTATTTCAGGTAGTCCCACTTCCATAGGTGTATAAAATCCAGTTCCTAGCCATGCAGTTTACTTTTACAAACATTTGTGAAAGAATTGATGGTTCTAAAGAGCTCACTAAATTTGAGTGTGGTACTCTAATAAGATGACACTATTGCAACAAGTTATCTCGTGATATTTCTATTAGATATTCTACAATCAACTGTAAGGAGAAGCACCTACAGCAACTCAGCCATGAAGTGGCAGACTACATAAACAGAGCTCCTGTAAACCCGACTGTTCAAAACTGACTCAATAACGGCATGGGCCCAAACCTCGTCTGGCATTAGCATGAGCACAAAAACTGCATGACCGGAGCTTCGTGGCATGGGTTTCCATGGCTGAGCAGCTCTTGTAATTGTTATTTGTAGTTGTCCATTACCTTTGTCCATATTGTGTAGCTATATTTAAGCTCAGTCTTGAGGTTTACATGTATTTTATTTGAGTTTCTCCATTTTGTGGTAACTCTTTTTCATGTTCCTCATTGATGGTAGGGTGATATCAGAAACAGTAATATTCTTACTCTGCAATGTAATTTTGTAAAAATGCAGACTTCTTTGAAGACTGAGGAAAACTCTTTGGACGTCAAAACCATTCAGTGAATAATATCAAAAGTGTAATATTTTTCTTAATATAACATCTTTTTCAAAGAAGAAAAACCTTACCAAGCCATCCAGCACCAGAGTTGGGAACACACATGTCTGTCTCAGCGCTGGGCAGGACAAAGCCCACTACAAACACCTCCACTCCATCTGACATGAGTGCCAGACCTAGAACAAAGAACAGCTGCCACTGGAATCTCCCATGGCCACACTCCTGCATGATCAACTCGTACTGCTGGGCGAGCTCTTCCTCATCTGCTTGTCTCTCATTTTCTAGTTCCTTGTGGCTCTTTAGGCTGTCAGACACTGGCTGGCCCAGAGCCACCTGACCATCCCGTGGCTTCCCATCATTGTATCCAGGCACTCCTTGGTACTCCCCCTCATAGATCTCATCTTCATCATCGTGACCCTCCGTGGCATCACTAGAGGCCCCGTCCTCTTCATTGGTTGCATTGTCGGCATAAAGACCATCTTGTTGAGTATAACTGTCGTAGTTGTTCTCTTCTTCATCCTCATTTTGGAAACGATTGTAGCTGCGCTGGGCTGAGTATTCATCAGAGGCTCGATCAACAGCTTTGCTGAAATTTTTGGCAGCTTGCCTTTTGGCTTCCTTAGCGATGTCCTTGGCACCTCTGACCAAGGAAGTCCTGTTGTTATGCGTTTCCTCCATCTTGGCACGAGGGTAACAAGCACTAAATTCAGCTTTAGTCCACTTTTATTCCACCAGATGCAATAAATATAAGCTACTTAGTTGTTTTTCTATCTTCTATTCCTAAATTAGCAAGATTTATGCTAATTTATTACCCCTGAAATACCACCCAACTGCCAGAAGACTAGCAATTAAGTAATGGTGTCTAATTCCATTGGATTGCAGTAACTAGACAGTGCTGAAGAGAAGACAGTTGATCTCAGACTGGGAAGATTCAAAGTCCAGTAACCACTCAGGAGAGGAAACCTGCAGGGACAGATGGAAAAAAGCAAGTTTAGCTTGATTAAAGACTGCCAGTCACAAATACCTGCCTGCAGTATTTCTTGGCACACTCCAAAAGAACATTTTTACACCGAGACAGCCACACTCCCCACTGATGTTGACAGAAAGCGCAGTCTACTAATGAGATGAAAATGATGTACCAGGAAGAAAAAGTCACAGAGGCAAAATTTTGCAGGTTTGAAGTTGTTAGCTGAAAGTAGCATTGATGATTTAAAGAAACTCTACATACCGTGACTCAGACATGTTCTGTTATGCTCATAAACATAGCTGTAATATAAATCTACTGGCATAAAATAAATATTAGTGAGTAGACTAGCTATGGATAAAATATAAAGTAAAAGTGTTACTGGCCAAATTTTCTAATATTCCTGAATACAAAATATCCCAAACCTACACTACTGTTGTACTCTCAGTCTGGCTGAAATATGCTCCTATTTATGGTTTGAACTACATAGCAAAAAAAAAAAAAAGCTATTTGTATGAGCCCATCAAGAAGCCAATGTCCAAGCAAGTGCACAAATAAGCAATACAGTAAGTATAATGGTGTGCTTGCTGTCAGAGTTTCATTTAATTACAACTCAGGTCCTTGAAGTATTTCTAGAGTATATTGTACCACTCAGTATTGTGCTTTGTACTCAGTTCTCAGACATGATCTGTTCACACATTATTAGTTTGTTGATGGCATGACAGCAGTAGTCTAAACATAATTAATGAGCAACCCATGAAGTATGATGTGTTGACATCAGTGGCTAGAAAACTCTAACTAGGTGTTTGTGGTCCCTGCACTTACACTAAATGACAAAGTACTGGGCCACATAGACATTACACCTGTAGGATTTGCTTGGCCATAGAAAGTATGTTGAAGTTTCCAGCACACAGCTGTTGTGCTGACGTTAATGCCAGAGGAAGTTTTGGAGTGAATCAGCTGTGTTGGTGAATTTATGCATGTCTCTGTGCTTGGTGACTTTACATGACCTGCTACTTTATGCCCATGTTGATGTAATTCCTAAATATTTCCAAGACATGTCACAAACTAACTTGTTGGAGTGGCAGCATCCCACAATCAAATTCGGTGAGCTTTTTGAAACCAAAGCCATGCAGTCTGCCTGTCTATAGATGCTTAATTTTATACATCTGAACTCAAAGCTTAAGAAATGTGGCTCAATATTTTTGCCCATATTGCGTATTTCAGAAAATGTGAAACAATTTATTAAATTTATATGCAGCATTGCTCAGACATCTCCAATTTGCATAAAAATGCTATGGCCCAAAGTTTGACTATATAAAATGACTGATGTGAAGTTTTATTCTCATATATTAAAGTTTAAAGTTTTTTATAGTTTTATAGTTTTTAAGATTTTTTTTCTTTTTTGAAAAATGGCCAGAGGCCAGATTGAAAGTGAATGAATATCTAAAAAAACTACTAAAGATAAAAGCCCAATTTTCACTGGTCACTCTTACCGTCAAAATAAATCAGGGTTTGTAACTTGGGACAGATATATAAAAAATATCTGATAATTGGCTTGTTAAAATATGAAAAAAAATGATTTGAGATGGAATGACTCCCTTGTGTGTCAGAATCTTGGCTACTAGCAGCAGGCCTTTTCCATCATGGATGTCATGGGTGGACTGAAATCTGGGGGAATTTGAACACCAGGTAATTGCCTTGGGCTCTTTGTGATGTTCCTCAAGCCATTTATGAGCAGATTTCGCAGTTTGCTGGTATGCACTGCCCTCCTTACAGAGGCCACTGTCTTTAAAGAGTATCACTGCCATATGGGTGTGGGCTTGATTTGCGACAATATTTCAGTGGGTGTGGATATGACAAAGTGGAATTTGGCACATCTACATTCATCCAGGAGCTCAAGGTTTCCACTGCAGAACACTGCACTGAAATGAGACTGTCAATTTCATTCACTGCACCTGTCAGTGGCTTTAATGCGGTGGCTGATTAATGTATATCTTGAGCAATATTGATACTTTCTTTGCATGGCGCTGTGATTTGATTGATCAAAAATTTATTTTTAAGCCTGTTTTGTTTTGTTGGCATTAACATGTTAGAATTATAATTTCACAATGAGTGCATATTGCATTTCAGCACCATGTCTGTTGCATTGTTTTCTGTTCTGTATGTCAGATTTGCTTTGTATTTAGTATATGTTTTTATACATGCAGTTTACATTTTTGTTAAGTCAGAATAAACTTTATTGTTCTGAAAAGATATCCATAACTATATGTATTTCTGTTATGCATTCAAAAACAATACATCATTGAAAATGTAGCTTTTGTCGCTCTGTTTTATGTCAAAGGTGATTCGTTTCTGGCTCATGTTTCTAGGCTGGGATTACATGTCAGCTAGTATGACTGACTCTCCTTAGGGGACTCTGTACTATGACACTGGTGGGGCATTTCAGAAGACCTGTCAACCCACAAGGCCAAGCCATATGAGCACCCAGCAGTCACTGTACCCGAACACTGCTGCAAGAGAAACACGAGAAAGCCTCTGGGCCATCACTTTCCATTCCAAAGCCACTTTAGCATCACTATATGCTATAGAGTCCACACTGAACAAATGGTCAAGCGGTGTTTGACAAGCCAGGTATGTGAGAAAGAAGGCTCGTCGACTGAGTTTGTTTAATGGTAAATAAATCCTCGATAAATCAAATACTGCTTTATTCTTCTTAACTTCAATGCTGGCCTTGAGAAAAAGAGCAGTCACTGGCATCTACTTAACAAAAATACTAGTAATTGCAAACAACCTGAAAGAGTAATTTATCTGGCTACACTCTTTTTATTTTAATTAGAAGCATTAGAAGCAAATTGTAAGTACTTCCTTGTAGATTCTAGTATGCATATCAGTAAGACAATACAGTGCAGTCACACAGTAATGTGAAATGATTTTGTCTAAGAGCAGATGAAAACCTTAACACACTTCTGCATTTCTGTGTGAAGTCTCTTGGGTGGAAAGCATACAGTGATGTGTTAAGACTGGGTGAAGTACCCTATTGACCATGGCAAGTTGATGTATTGTGCTTCTACCACCTTTGCTCTGCAGCATTAGATAAAGCATCAGTCGGACTCTGTCATTTGAACACAAGCGCCGGAGCTCCACAACGACGTGAAGCAGATTTTGGTGCAATGCAGCAGTCAAATGATGTGGCGAAAGTGCCCTAACTAACTTTGTGATGACACACCCCAACAATTCCCAAAGATACAACACTAATTCTGTGGCTAAAGGACAACTACATTATTTACACTGCTTCCATGTGTCCTACAGTAAAAAACAAACAAACAAACAAACAAAAAACCAGATGGATTACAACCTGAAGTGGAAAGTGAAAAATTCTACAAGGTTAGATGTTGGAATATCTAATCTATCTGATGAATCAGTCCTCACAGTTTCAGGCTCAGGTATGTTACTGTTTTGTGTAGACATGTGTTATGGCAAATATTACGTAGACCAGATGTGGACTCAATGTCCCAACATACCTATCACCTAGTTCATACTGAGTGCACCTTTGGCTGAGATGAGGCACCCAGACTCAGCCTGAGTCAACATAGTCATTCAAACCTATAGGTTGATAGTCGATTTGGTTTGGGCCAAACATCCATTACTCTCTGGATCAGCAATGTATTTTTAGTCTTTGGAGAGAACTTTTGTAAATGTAATTTGTCCCATTTGAGGTGGGAAGCAGGAAATTCCAAATTCACAGTCAGAAGTTTCAGCTAGAAGCCCCCATTAAGTTGGTCTTACCACCAAAACACTGTACTACCACTGCTATGTATTAGTAACTTGCTTAACACACCACATACAGAGCACTGGACAGGTTCTATCTATAAACTTGCTGAAGCATTCTTTTTGAGCCCAAAAAAACAAATATTGCATTGTACTCTTGGAAATGCAAGCAAAACAAAACATTGGCTTTTTTTCTTACTATTATTATTGGAACACAGCGAACTCGGGCTTGATGTTGTTCTCAGCTCCAACATTTGACTTCTGAGGTAAAAGATGGTGGCAAGCTAAACTAATGTACCTAGCTACTGAAGTAGTAGATGCAGGGTGTATTTCAAAATAACAAAACTACTTTAGCCATAACTAGAAATATCTAAGGGCAGATCACAATGTGGTTTGAAACAGATTATGTAGATTATCTTGTCAAACCTTTGCATCCTGTTTAATAACTAAATAACTACATATTTAGTTATTTATATAAGAGCCCTATATAAATCAAACAAGATGCTATATAGTGAAGGACCTCATAGTAACACTCAGATTTACAGTATACATCAAACATTATTGGTCAACTATGACATTCTGTGCTTTTATAATGCACAAAAGAGCTTCCATTCAGCATACCGCTGTGAGTACAGAAGCACATTCCTCCTTCCAAACTTCACACTGCATTCCTCCTTCCAAACTTCACACTGCATTCCTCCTTCCAAACTTTAACCACACTGCTCCTCCAAACTGAGCACTTGATGCCTCAGACTAAAGGTCGAAATGTGTGATAAACCTCATGATATGCTCTGAGAGTTTCCGCACCAAATGGTCAAGAAGAAAATAGCCAATCAACTAACTGTCCAGCAATGCTCAGAGAACTTTTTATAAAAGAGGGAAATGGATAATTTTGTATAACAGACACCTGGGCCTGCGTGTACTCCCTGGTCTCCATGCTAATCTCTACTTTCCTTTCGCTCTGGCTCTCAATCTCTCTTCACCTCCTCCTTTTTTTCTCCCTCTCTTTCCCTCTTCCATCTCTCATCTCGCTTATCCAAGTGCGCCAAGAATTTCAAAGTCATCATCTTAAAGGTAATGCAGAATATGAAAGATATGCCTCTTCTGTTGACATTTCATTATTCATGATAGGCTAACCGTTCTCCTCCTTATGCAAATGGCCATTAATGCTGACATTTAGAAGTCTTTCAATATAGTTTGGGCTACAAAGATAATTCTTCAAAGTCCGGTCCAAATGTCCAGTCTCTTTTTGAAGCAATCTTTAATCCATTTCCTCACATACACATATTGCTGATGTCAGAAATTACCCATGGTTATACAATAAGTCACCACACTTCAACCAACAGCCTTGGCATTTCCTCCAATAAACAGCTAATATCGCTTATAGCCACTTCTATTTTCCTTCTGATGGCGACTCCCCATGCCTTCTGCTGTGACGCAGTTATTGGGGTTATTATTACAACAACTCTCATGTTGTGATTTTAGCAATCAGCAAAATTCCTGCAAGTTCTGAATCAGCAGTCCGCGGAGGGTGAAGAAATGATTTCCTTGCAGTCGAGCTGTCATGGCCCGCTGACGCCATCCAGCAACATTCATTAATCACTGGCAAACACACACGAAAACACTAGATGCCTGCAAGCACACACAGGTCCACTTATGAGGTGCTTGCTATGAGACTCAGTAAGACATATTCTTATGACACAAGGTAAAAGGAAGAAGAGATTTTCAGCAGTATATTATTCAATTTGAAACTATAATTCATTGTTGATAATATCAAAATCAGCAACATTTTGCTGAGCATAAGATCCAGTGAGTGCATGCGACATGCTGGTTGACAATATGTGAGTGTAAGCGGTATGTGCAAAGCCCTACAGGCTCTCTACGGTGCCCACAGATGGCTGCAGTGAACATTTGTTCATGCACATCATGTGAATAAAATTGCATGCCAAGCTCTGCAGATGCTTCACAAGAGAAGTTTAAATTTTGACAGAAATACTTCAGAATCTCTCATGTGGTTCCACATGTAGACATGCAATATGAGTACTTTTATAGTGGTACGATGGGTAGGTAAAGTAAGCCTTGAATTTGGATTTGCTGCCTGTAGGAAACAGAGAGTAAAAAATTTAAAGCACTGATCAGAGTTGGTAATTCTCCCTAATATTATTAAAATTAGCAGGAGAAAAATGTAACAAGAGAATGTGCTTTCTATAGAAGACTGTTCTATTTTCTACACTCAGTAACATTTTCCTGACTCACTGAGACATCTAAAAACGACATACTTTACCAGCATTAACAGTACTGTAACTGTATTGCATAAAAGGTGTATGAAGCTTAGCAAAGCCTGAAGGAAACCTCACAACTGTCGCCAACGCAAAAAAAGAAGAAGGTATAAAACGTTTCGATCCCTATTGATCTCAGAAAATTATGAAACATTATGCCATGTTCTAGCACACCTCTTATCTATGTGTACATTTAACACCTGGTTGTTTTCTTATAGAACGTTAGAGGGATATCTCTCCGCTGTAGTTTTCCCTAAAATTGACACAAAAGATGCAGTGTGATCAAACCACTGCATAGCAAATTTTAGAGGCCACAATTGAGTATTTGCCACAGAACACAGAGGGAGTGGAAATAACTAAAAACTTACAAGCAAACCCCACTTGACTCCTTTGATCAGAATCCCAAAAGGCCAGTTGACAGTTGTGAAGGTTTACTGACTGCTGGAGCTTGGCCAGCTGCTGTAGAGGTCCCTCTGTAGAAGTTTGAATCGTGTGTGTCTGTTGTCATGATCAGTGCAATGCTCAGTTGAACTTTCTGTATTTTTAGGCTTTGTCAACATGTCAGAATCCACCCCTTTATATTTGTTTGTCTCTCTCCTTATGCTGCTCAAAAAGGGGACACTGGAACATCCTTTAACTTTTTAGTGGGATTTTTTTAATCCAGCCGTCAGTGGATGGATGATGACTGCTGTTGCATCATTTTGTTCTCAGCAAATTGCACAGTGCCTCTCAGAAAAAAATTCCAACTTAAATATTCACTTTCAACAAGCCAGTGAAGTTCAAAGCAACGGGTGTGAGTGTGTTTGTTCAGCTCAGCTTCTGAATAAAGTCAGATCTCTATAGTCACTCCAGTTCTTCCTGGTATCTTGCTGTTGTACCTTCTTGTCCTATATGAAACAAATTAATTGTCCTATACGTGACACATTAATTAGGGCAGGGATACTAGAAAACATTTGGTCAGGTGGAAACATTTTAACTCATTATGATTTCAATTAACGTCCACACAGTAAAACGATGAGCTGCTGAAGCATTAGACATGAAGGTGGCTTCACATCACTGATCTCAGCAAATGAATGAACACTGAATCCAGTTAAAAGAGGACATAGTCATAAAGCGCTACTAAATAATTGAGGGAGAAATTCTTCACTTATGTCCACATATGAATCGCTTGATGTTACCTGCCCTGCTCTCTACAGGCTGGTGACCGCCTGACAGATTGTATCCTGACTTTCTGCCCCCACCATCTGTGAGACGTGTGCCGCAGACATGCTAGCCAAACCCTCCTTTGTGCGTACTGTCTTCAAACAGAGATGAAAATTGAGATTAACAAAGAAGTGAAAACGACCAATGTGAATAGATGAATGGATGTTTTCATTGCCATCTCGCGTGCTAAACCAAACACGGAGGCACACGGGCCTAAGGCAAACATCAATTTACTGACTTGGGTGTTTGACAAATATCTATTCAAATAGAACATTTATCCGGTCAAGAGAACTGCCTCGAAGCGAACACCTGGTCACAATTTCCAGAAGGATGAATGGGGAAGTTTGGGAAAGCTTTATGCAAAACTCATCTGTCACTTTCCTCTTTGTTCCACTTGCAGCGTTTTTACTACTGCGGCTTCTACGCGGCGGCGCCACCGGGTGAGTATAGCGCAGAGCACGAGCGGGAAGGAACATCAATCACCGCGCGGCCCTCTGACGCAAGTGGCGTCCCATAATTAGATTTCGGGCAGTCCTTTCAATGCTCCCTTGCGAGACGACGTCGCACTACGCTGTACAGTTAGATTGCTCTCCTCACACCGCATCGAGCACTGACTCCTGATTAATGGATGAACCTATCTCCCCCCCCTCCCCTCGTCCTCTCTCTCTCTGTGCGCATCTTACTGCAGATTTCACTCCGGCTGCTCGTGCGGAGGGGGAAGCTCGGGGTTGCCTCGCCGTGCGTGCACCGACTCGCTTTTTCTATGACCAATGATCGCGTCAGGATGGTAGCACCCGCTACCCCATCACCCTTTCCATGGACACACACACACATAGCAAAAAGTCGCAGCGTTGCTCCACGATGAAAAAAGACTAGACATAAAAAGATATTTAAAAATAATAATAATAATCAATAAAACTTTGGCAGCGGGCAAAAGCTGACACACGCCTCAGAATCTGCTCTGATCATCAAGAAAATGAGGAGCTACTCTGATCAAACACAGTTCTGTGGTGTGGATTTCTAATTTTAAGCACAGCTTAAGATGCTCGCGCTGCAGGGCGACTTCGAAAGTTGCCCAACTTTCCCGTCAATCATGAGCGCGGAGCATTTTATTTTTTCTACTGAATTTTTTTAAGCATCAGGTGAATACGAAATTTCCTCTTACCGTTGCATTTAATGACAGTTATCCAGACTAAAGCGTGGGTGATGGAGGAGATGAACTTATAGTTGCTGATATTCAGTGAGACAAATGAATAAATGCTTACAATTTCTAGTGCATCGAACCGAACTCGAAGACTCTGAAGTGTCCGTTCCTTTGCGTCTCTACACGGCCACGGAGGTAGTGAGCAACGAGCCTAGATTAATTCTTTCTTTCTTTTTTCTTTTTTCTATTTTTTTTCTCCTCTTGTCTTCTTCGATGCAGCGGTTTCTCTGCTGCAGTCCAAGAAAGCCCAGGGATGCTGATGGGAGGTAGGAAGCGTGAGTGAGTGTATGTGTGTGTCTGTGATGGGGAGCGAGGGGGAGAGGGAGGGTGCAGGAGCAATAGGCAGACTGAGATCAATAGTGGCTTTGCATCCTACGGACAATAGTGAGCCTTTCCGTATAATAGTCCACGGTACGTATCCGGCGAAGGTTCCGTGACGTGCTACAATCACAAGCTGCTGGGTTTAGACGTAAGATGAGAGTAAGGGAGGGCTGAAATTTGGCTCCCGGGGAGAAGTTTGAAAAGAAGCTGCTGGTTAAAGCTGCAACTTCACTAAAAAAAAACAGTTGTGCAGTGCCTAAATCCTCTGAAGTGCTAATGTACAAAAGCAGCTTCTGTTAAGACTGCAAAATACACCCCAGGTTTCTTTTTTTCATGACTTGACCTGTAAAATGTGAGAAAATTATGAGTATACTCTCACCAGCCACTTCATTAGTTATACCTTGATAGTTAGTATTGGTTTTGGCTACATAACTGCCTTAATTCCTGATAGTTTTTGGTCCTTTCTGACATGACTTTGTGAAGCCTCCAGGTCTCATCTCCCTCCACCGATTTTTATTTATTTATTTAGTTTATTGGACTGATGTCTGGAAACAGCACCAAAGAATAATGTTTCCACCTCCGTGCTTAACCGTGGGGTTGGTATTTTTTAGCTCATACTCACCATTTCTCTTTCTCCAAAAGGGTGGCTTAAGTTGATGCCAAAAAGCTTGATTTCGGTTTCATCTGACCAAAATAACTTCGCTAAATAATTTAGAAGTTCACTGACAAACAGGCGCTTCAGTCCATCACAGCATTGTTTTACAGAAGGTGTTCTTAGTGTTTGTGGTCCCAGCTGCCTTAAGATCATTACCAAGCTCCTCTTGTGTGCTTTTAGTCTGATCGACCACCTTTCTCATGATCATCCTCACCCCAAACATGAGCTAAACATGAGCTAAACATGAGAGGTTTTAGGACAAAGTTTGTGTTTTGCATTGTTTAAGCAGGAGGTATGTTGTATCAACAGAAAAGGTTAACTTGGTTATCATTTTGCAGAAAAAAAAGAGACCGCTACAAATAAAAACATAAGAGGTTTGTGGACAAAGTTTGTGTTCTACATTCTTTAAGCACCGGTTCGAGCACCGTTTAAGCACTGGCACTGATTCAAAAGTACTGGTTTGGCACCGGCATCAGATAAAACCTAAACGATACCCATCCCTACACAAGACCATCTTTTTGATCTTGCCATGGTGATGGAGGCTTGATTGTGAAAATAACTTCATCCACAACACAAGGTTAGTGTTTAATATGTTGCTGCATGGCTTTAATTACTTGTCTTAGGTCCATACTGACATTTTACTTACCCATGGAGGTATTCCTTTTTGAGGTGCCTCGGAAAGCACCTTCACCAGCTCTTGACCTGAGGCTAGTTTTTCTTGCACTAGATCAGTCATTATGTTAACAGAGATAGCCTAAGGTGAACAAATGAAGCTACTTTCTACCATGGGTGTCTGAGATTACACTGGAGCCATCAATACCACTGACTTAACAGTATTTTGTTTCTTATTAAAAGCATTACAGTCAGCTATGAAATCACCTGGCTTTTTACCATAAAAACAGATCATTCAGAGTTCCCACTGCTAGCATTCAGAGCTTTTATAATTGACCTTGAAGAAACAGAACCTTTCTGGCTAATTTTAGAATACAGTACGAGAGAAAACATAGCTTTTAGTTTCATGTTTGTCACTGAGAGCTACTTTATCAACCGCCACAGGAACATAATTTCTAAATTCCTCAGTAAGAATTCAAATGGCTGTTTTAACAGCCTTGTCGGGGTGTTCTTTTCCTGGACACATAGCAACAATGATGTTCAAGCATATTTAGGCCATTCTAAAGGTGTTGCTACACACTCAAAATGGGAAAGTATCTTTCCACATCCTTTTCAAAAAAATCTTGTGAACACATGGACAGATCTTCTGGAGCCTGAACCTTTGTTTGTTCTATCTTGCTATTAAATCACATAAAAGACTACCTCAATTTCACCTTCTCAACAGACTGACTATTTATATTCATATCTAATTTTTCCTATGAGAACTAGACCAGTTTCAGTGTGGCATTGCTCTGCAAAGCCACAAGCTGTACTTTGGTTCAGCAAAAAAATATATTCTGTTGTTAAAGTTTCATAGAACTTCTCAATTTTTGCCGATATAAAACAGGTTACTACAACAAAATTTACAACTTCCTGTTGAGGCAACACAAACCACCTCTCCTTTGATAAGCTTTTAACACATCCACGGAGACACCAAAGCACACAAACACAGAACTGGTTTTTTGAAGTGAAGTTACCAACATATACCTGCACAAAGCCAAGAGTAAGCAACCAAAGATAGTTAGCACCCATAGCAGTTACTCAAGACTGTTTTATACCACAGAGTTTATATATGATTAGGACCATTGCTACCTTGATACTAGCAAATAAAATTCAAAGACTAAACACTAATTATCTTACAACACTAAAGTACACTACACTACACTTATATTGATGAACATTAAGCTTCTCCTGCAAACAGAATGTGTTAGGCTAATCATGTTAGAATACCTGGGTCGTTGACACAGAGTTTTGAAGTTTTGCATGATTATTTAACTTTGATTTTGTCATTATTTATCTTATATTTTTTCTAGTCTTTTTGGTTCAATGTTAGAGTTTTTAGTCTTCTGGTTTCTGTCTGTGTTCCATAGTTGCTCCGTCTGCCACTGTCTGCTCGTCAAGTCTGTGTCTCTGTGTTATGTTTCCTGTTTTACTTTGAAAGTCTGTGTCTCATGTCAGTGTTTCTAGTTTGCTTCCCTTGTCTTGTTAGGCCTGATTTGTCCCAGGTGTGTTTCCCTCCTGTCCCCCATTCCCTGTTTGCTCCCTCTGAGTATTTAAACCCTGTGTTTTTCTTGGTCTATGTTGTGATTTGCATCATACCTCACTGTATGTTCCATCTGTCTGCCTTAGTTTATTTGTATTCTTCAGTTTAGTTAGTTTTCCTTGTGTCCAGTATTAAAACTGCATTTTGAGTTCACCTTTTTTGCCTCCGTTAGTCTGCACTTTTGGGCTCAGCATTCCTACCTGCACAGAGTACATGACATGTGGTATTTTTTATATCACAGTTTCATGTATAGAGTTTTCTCATCAGGGTAAATCAATAAGCAAATGCGTTTGACAACACGGTAAAGATGTTGGTTGTTTCCTGTCTTATGTTAGATGTAATAGAAGAATATTGGATTTCAGCATAACATCTATTCATTCCAGCAAAAGTTGTTTTGTCTCTTCCTTTTTTGCTTCTATATTTCACAGCTGACTGCACTTTTTGATTACTATGTTTTTTTTCTTTCAAATCATTAAAGACATTACTTTTAAATGATTTATCATATAAGTTCTTTATTTTTTTAAATGTGTATTTAAATAAATGTTGGTGTTTCTTGGGTGAATAATTTAGAGTAATCAATAACTTTTGCAGTTCAAATGGTTAATGAAGAAGATGTGTTTATGGCTGCAAGGATTTGTTTGTTTGTTTGTTTGTTTGTTTGTTTGTTTGAGGGAGCTGGCTCTTGGCTACATTAGCCCCAGCATAAAGCAGAAGAGCCATTTTGAAGTAATAATAATCCAAGTCACAGATTTAAGACAGTCAATAACTTCTTATATTTTTAGTTTATTCGTTGTTTTTTTTGTTTTTTTTTGTATTACAGAGACAGTAACAAAGGCATATGTGTAAGGGAATAGGAAAAGGGAAATAAATAATTAATATGAGCTAAAATAAGATAATTTGTCTGCTTGACTTTCCATTACTTTACATTTTAATCACACTGTGTGCTTGTCTATATGTGCTTGCACAGCTTTTTTGTATGTCTACACTCAGTATTATATGACATACATATCCAGGAATTACATATATCTTTATTCCATCTGATGCACATGAAGAACCCAACGCCTCTGACTGGCTTGTTGGTTGGATTTAGCCATAAGGACTAGTGACTGGACCAGTGTATGACTATCAGGATAAACCAAGCAGAAGAGACGGTGGGTCACAACTTGGCAATGCAATGAAAAAGAAATATTCTCTGCTGCCTACCCATACTTTTGGTTTACTTTAAATAACAGCATGAATGTATGCATTTTTATTTGATTATCAGTGTGTACTTTGACAAACAATCTAGGTAAATCAATGCTGTTAGCCACCCAGTTGTCTTCCTTAACTAAAACTTCAAAATATATTGAAAGCGCATTTTAAGGGCTGGACTTCATAAATTATAAAAATATAAATTACCAACATATGCCAGGTGTTGACATTATAGGACTAATAAAATTTCCTATTGTTTTTAATCTTATAATTGTGACATACCCATGGTTATACTGTGATTTTCAAATCAGGTCTACAAAGAGAAAGCTTATAAAAGGAAAAAAAATGGTCCACAGACTTGCATGGTGAGAGAAGGGTCCAATTTTCATATACTGTGAGCAAAATATGCAACAAATGTCTGGAGGAACTTGATTGAACTTAATGAAAGAGCAGTCTTATGTGTCACTGTTTATAACACTGGACACTTATTCTTTCCTGGATGGTCTACCTAAAACAAAAATATTCATGGTTTGAGTTCAGAGCATACCCATTTCTTCAGAAAGTGCCACTCCTCCTCTGTCTGCACTCAGCGTCTTTATATCTGTTCCTTTTAAAAGGTGTCAGTGACTCATGATTCTCCAAAAAATGTTGGAGGGTAAAAGAGTTCAATGCAAAAGTCTGGGCAGAGAAAATAAGCAATCCCCAAAAACTCATCCTATTCTGCACGGCTAGAGAAGGGCCATTATGAACTTCAGTGAATGAGCACTCCTCTCCTCAGCTTTTAGAAATAACCATTATGGTAGAAATCTCATTGAGCAAGGAAGAAGCTTGGAAGGACATCCCTGTTAGTCAAATAAAAATGCAGATGCATTTGCATTTCTATCCAGCAGCTGTTGTTTAATGTAAGGGTTGAAATGAATTAAATAAAACAAAATCTAATATCAAGACACATACACGCATACACACAACACCTGTCACCTGTAGTAACATCATGAGCTCTGTTCAGAAATGTAGGTATATAAAGTCATACATTTTACCATGATTATCATCTCACCTTTTCT